CTCATAATCTGTAGGAATAGGTAAACTCAGTTGAGTGGGAAATCAACTAATATTAGTACCTGTAGGAATAGGTAAACTCAGTTGAGTGGGAAATCAACTGAGGAAATAATTGGATAGACGAAGGTATATATCCCGATCACTGAATCGGGTTAGTAAGCGAAACGATAAGGAAACTTGAAAAGGTAATGTCAAAGCTAATTGTACGGAGTATTCTCCAACATTGAGTACCCTAGGTCTAGCTCATCGGTAACAGCGTGATTCATAACCTTGAAGGAATTGCCGAAACCAGATTGAGGCATCTGAAATTCTGTCAAGAATACCGAGGACGAAGTCGAGGGATCACGAGATTTTATCGATGGCATATTGACGCGGCGCTCTATGACCTCTCTCCGCCACGGGTCACAACTCTATATGCCGTACGTGTCCCTGAAGGGCCCAACCAGATATGCCGCTACGATGAGGGAACTGGAGATGAGCTGGAGGTACCTCTTGCGACTACAGCTTTTGTGTCTGGTCAGACAATGTTCCAACTGCTTCCCTCAGAGCTAAAGAAGAGTGTTGCTGTCTGGACGAACGTCAAATGTAGGTGGCCTGAATAGATTTCGAGGATTGAACCATTGACGACTCGTACTTAGATGCACCACATCCATATGTTTGGATGACCCCCGCACACGCCAAATTGACCGGGCTAGGAATCGAGTCCGAAGGTCTAGAAACGCCGTTAGCGCAGCTTCGTAGAGGATAAAATCAAGATCCATCCAGTGGTACGAATCGACCGTTGCGCACGAAGTGTGATAGTACATAAATATATTCACTGCTCCTAATCAAGTACGCTATGTCGGTTTCCTGCTTCATGAGCCGATATCTTGCAGTGTATTTTCAAGCTCATCCGCACTGTGTACCGTGTACGACAAGAAATACTTACAATTATCTGCATGTATCTATGTCCCCGGGCCTGGGGCTTAGTTGCGGAAGAACCCGGTATCGGAAGCGCTCTCATTTCAAGTCCATCCTTGCTGTGCTACAGCGCTTATCGTCAGTCGTTTCCCCGTGGGCAGCTCGTGAAAACGCTCTGTATCAAGATAGCGCGCACCCAAATAACTCGGGCGAGGTCAAGGATAAGTTCACCATACTGAATGCAAAAAACCTAGTCGGCGGATCTCTTGCTCAATGTTCTTCCGTGAATTGTTACTACATTAATATTGTTCAGCCACAGTAGTTCCATTTTTGCGATTAAAATCCGATACAGGTTCAGAAGAAAAGCCCTCCTCATCGTGAGAATCCGCGTATCTTTCTTTTCCAATTCCTTCCACCAAAATTACATAGATAGGACAGATTTTTACACGGCTCCATATGATTTATGGTTTGGAAGAATGGTTCGTAACTTCAAATGCACGTGAAAGCCAGGGTTCGGGTTTCTTCCAATCACAATTCCAATGCACGGCCGAATATGGCCAGCCACGATATCGCTGCTTGTACGTGTCCTGTTCAATCTTAGTTATGCACTAGAAATTCCATTGAATCAATCCTTTCAGGCTTCTTGTCGTCCTTCTGCCTTGATCTGTGCTGTGTTTGGACGAGATATGACTATTGCACAAACCGTACTATCATCAGAGTAGGGCCATTGGAACCACGAATAAGGCAAAACCTCCCGTCTTATTATGGGATTATTGGCTTTTGGTCCTTGCGATACCAGGATAGCATGCAGTGTCAACAGTCGAAACGGAACAGGTCATCCAGTGCTACGTATATCACATCTGTAAAAACGAGTAGGCCGACTATCCGAATGGAATAATCGCGATCTTGCATCAACAAACATGACTTGTCTCAAAGGCGAGCGTGCATCAATTGCCTCAGCGTTTCCTCTTTGTCCGAATTCGTACTCGTATCCTGTGACCTTGCCCATAAACTGCACTAGCAGGAACCGAGGAACTATAGGATCTGGAATTTCGTGGTTCTGCCAATCTAGTGGGCTGCACTTTTGAAGTGATCAAGGTGGTGAGTAGGAAGAGGGAGCGGGAGATGCAAGTTTTTACCACACGTGAGTTTCAATGATTGAAAGCAGTCGAACAATTGCCGGTTACTCGGTAGGCGCAAGACAAATATTTTTCGGAAAAGTAGATATCAATTCCACACATTGCGGTATCATCGACGTCGTATTCGCATATCAGCCACAACGCACTTGTAGTCTTGTACAATGCGGCTTTTGACCACCTCCGGTGATTGGATACTTTCTTGAATCTCTTTCCGAGCACTTTGAATTCAAAGTTGATTGTATAGTAGCATCGGTGATGGTCATATTGTCGATAGGGAATCAGCGTTGTGCATTTTGCTGTTGTTCCAATCGGCGGTTCCCGACAACAGCTGACACTACCTATTCTCCTGCAGTCCTCGGATCTTTCGTTCCCCCGCAATTGCAGTTTCTTCAGCAATGCTGGGCTATTCGCGCTCTATTGGGTAACTCAATATCTCCCGCTATCTTTCCAAATTGCAAGAACAGCTTCCTGAGAGCCAATTCAAAAAGTGCAAACAGACTTTGTTACTGCTTGTTACTAACTTTATTTAAAGTCATGAATCATCATCTTCTCCCGCTACTCCATTTCCACTATTTATTCTTCTTCTAGTATCTATTTCAAGATCAATTTCAAATTGCAATCAGCTGAATAGACAATACTAGATGGTACCGTCTGACCGCTCCAGTGATTTCTTATTTGAACGGAATTGTCACTTATCTTGAAGTTCTTCTCGATCTATACTGTTCCAGCTATTTTCAACGTCACCTTGCTTGTGGGTCCGAGCCATGGATACTCCGGCTATAGTGGAGGATGGAATGTTTGTGGTGTTTCTTATGATGGTGGCACGTACAAGCAAAGCTTATCAGGAAACCCTTGACAGTCGCATTATTAACTATGCATCATATGCCAAAACCAGTAAGTGCCGCCGCTTTCTGGTCCCCTCTGATCCACGAAGATTATATATCGACTTGACCTTGCTATGGACTTAGCGGTGCTAGCGTACGAGATCCTCATCAATCTCGGACGAGAGGTGGATCTCGTCTGGAGTGCCAATTTTCGATGGTCGAATGTGATCTACTACATGAACCGATACCCTGTCGTTGTTTTCCAGGTCTGGGAGTTGTGCTACAAGACCGGCACTCCGCAGGTGAGATAGTCTTCACTTGCACGCTTGTTATTTTCCTCTGATCTAATTCGCTGTGCAGTATGTCCATTGTTCACAGCATATCATAGTTCCTCCGATAACATTCAAATTGTAGTTGTGATGCTCTGTATCAATTCTTTTGGTACACCTCTTTCATTCCTACCCGTGCTGCAATAACTGGTATGTCAACATAACACTACGCACCCCCCCTGCTCGTAGGAGTGCTTATGGTCTTTTCCCAGCGTCGTTTGCATTACGCGTTTATGCCATCATGGACGGAAGACTTTTCTTCGTGGTGATCCTCAGCGCATTAGGTGTGGCCATTGTTGGACTAGATGTTGTAAGTCTTCTATCTCGGTGTATATGTGATCAACTCGTTCAAGCTCAAGCTAACTCTGCTGTGGTATCTGATTCCTGTTATCCCTCTCAGTGGCAAGGCATTCAGTCCTCGTGTTCTCAGTCTTCTGATAAGCTGTAAGCATGTTTTGCTCTAGGACCATTCAAAGCCTCGAGCTGAATTGATGATCCAATGATACGCAGATGTATGTATGAAATCTTTTGCGATCCTGTAACTCGTGTCCGACCACTTGGTTGTCTCCAGCTACTATCACGACGTTCATTTCTCTGGCATGTTTTGATGTCCTCACCACCAGTAAGTGAACCATAAGGAGTACGACTTCAAGTCTGAATCACTGACTACGAGATATCCTTTACCCTTCCTACTTAGTTCTTGTAACCGTCAGGATGATCAAAACCATTCAGTGGGGCGGGAAATTGAAAGGGTTAGAGAGCTCCCGCATTGCCGCTTATATACTAAGATCAGGTGAGCTCGCGCCCCTCTTTTTTCAGTTGATGAGTATATTTGTTGACTCTGTTTTCACTTCAACTGTAGGTGTTCTTTACTTTGGGTATATATATTCAGGTCTCTCTCCTTTTGCTTCAACTTACAATGCATTGTTTTATCAGTGCCGTGACAGTTCCACAGTTGATTGCAATTGCACTCTACTTCGTAAGTTGATTCAATGACTTTTCTTCAGGTGTTCGATGTCAATAATCAATGAAATTTTATCGCAGGATCCGCAAGTTAGAATGCTCATTCCCAAATAAAAAACTCTCCATACCTGACATTGAATTTGTAGCAAGGAAGCAGTACCATCCTTAATAATTTTATGCTCGTGTAAGTATTACTAATATTACCGTTTATTCATCGCAGTGCTAATATCACATAGTCTATCTTCCATAATGGTCTCGCGATTCCTTCTTGACCTTCGAGAAATCAATGAGACACAAGTCAATGGCGAAACAACAATAACGACTGGCACTATTGCTTTTGCAACAGGGACAACAATGGAGCCTTCTCAAGCTCTTCTTCCACCTTGTCGTCGAGGTGTTAGTAATAGATGGAGGCGAGGTTGTTTCGATGATTGCAGTCTATTCAGAGATTTTATGTCGGATGCCGGAGATGATTTCTGTGATTACGCGGAAAAAGCATTAGTCCAAACTCAATCCAGACATTGCTCAATCAGAGCACCAGAAGGGATGGCTGATAGGTCAGGTTCAGTGGAAAGTGACCTTGTTGGTTGCAGAGAAGACTTGAATATACATACAAACAGCTAGAAGCGAAATTTCTATGTGAATACATTGCTGAAGCTATTTGAAGAAAGTGAGTGAGTGGAGACATTATTATAGTGTACCCCTTAGGCTCCTCCTCAATAGATGGGCCGCATAAGAAAATGCAGCAGTTTGAGATATTACATACAACTCATTAAGAGGGCCACCCCGTCCCGTTAGATCGAAGTCCTACAGGGAAAAAATAAATCCACAGAACCCAATCACTTATTAGCCCACCGCGAGGGTCGAACTCGCAGCCTTCAGATTTTCGGGGAATCGAAAGAGGAATTTTTAAAAGTCTGACGCTCTATCCGATTGAGCTAGGCGGGCCGACAAGAAACTGATGCGCTGTCGGTACCTGTATTTTTGGAGAGATCGGCAGCACATGCAGCAAAAAATTTCCTAATTTGGGGCGAGCTATTCTCCTGAGTTCTCTGGAATTTTCCTAGGTTTCAACAAGCTTCCAATTTTTTCCAGCTCCGCGAAGCTGCCCTCACCGGTCGATCCGAAGATTTTCTGTATGTATGTAAACATTCAATTCACCTACGTACAACGAAGGTAAACAAGATTTGAATTTGAAAGTTTTTCTGCTCTTTCCAAGACCTTGTTCCCCACGCATCACAACGTTGTACCTTTGAGTAGGTATACGAACTCAAGTATTTCATGCCGAACTCGCCGTACTCAGGTCACAACGTGAATTCGAACTTGAATGTTCCGTACTCGAGCTACGATGGGGGTCGAGGCTACGGTTTCAGTCACGGTCCAGGACCATATTCCGATTCGAGTCGAGAGGTCCCGTATAGGATACAACAAGAAGAAGAAGTAGGACTGCATTCTTATTACTATGATGAACATAATTCTGGTATGCCCGTCGAGTCCGCTTGTCAAAACCTCTCACATTCCGGAAACCCTGCCAACAACTACTGTGGACGCTCAAGACATCCGCAACACCCGTTAGGACCCTCTTCACAAGATTCGAGGGTTTACAATTCTTCTTCCGATTCACCTTCTTTTGCTTTTTCCTCTTTGGGTCGTACCAGACTAGCCCTACCTTCTCAGCAGGAGCACCCCCATGATTCTAGCAACCACGTCTCGAAGCGTAACTTGAGTAACCGGTACTATCATCACGATGGCCAAAAGTGGGACCATGGCGAATTCCCAGGTCGTCGTCAGCTTGAGGTTCCGAATGAGAGGATCGCAGATACTCCGAAAGGTTCAGGATATTTTGACAATAATCAAATTTATCGTGATGGGTCGGCGGTACTGGTGCGTCCGTGGCAGGGCGTTGAGGCGAATGCCAAGTTACGGTCACGGTCAGCTTCCTCCTCATCCTCCTCTGCCAAGTCCAATAAACCACTATTCGGACATCATCGTCATTCGCAATCTATCCGAATAGTAGTACCGTCGTACAACATGCAACAGGAACTTGTACACTGGGATGAAGCACTCAATCGGCGCTCGGGAGGTGGTTCGGGTTCGGGTTCGAGTTCGGCATGGTGGGAGTGTCTGGATTCGAAGAGGGAGATGGGAGGGAGCAACTCGAACTTGATGCAAACCGAGACTCCGACGCGGACGTCAACATTGACGGAACAACTCATCGCGTACGGAGCGAGAGAGTTGGAAGAGATTTTTGAGATTTGGGAAGAGGTGAGTTGATTGGATCAATAAGTAGTCCGGGCTTAGTACAACGCACATATGCATGTATTCATGCTGCTTTCAACAGTGTCGTGCAAAAGCCCGGAAGGAGGGTACGGTTCCGGGACTTGTTTTTCAACGAGAATCTGAACAAAGGGGACAGGGAGAAGGAGATCGGGGACGACGAGAAGAACCGCACCGACACAGATATCAAGATAAACAGAAAAGATTTGTTCAACGACTACAACTTCTTCGAGACGATGACAAGCTGCCAAAATCTAGCTCTCAGGTTAATCGATACGAAACGATTGGGGTTCACGATGAAGATAGCGCAAAGGTATTCCAAGAAATCGTGAGCAGATTCTCGAAAGTATTTCGTGGACCGCATATTGATGACAAGGGGTATTATTTTCTCGATGTTGGGTGAGTTGTTTCGAAACGTATTTCTTATTCCTTCTGCCACTAGCGATATGTATGTATGCATGTTCTTTGTTTCTTTTTTCTGACTATATCATATATTGTTGTAGATGTCGTCCAGGCGGATTCGCTTCTTTTATTTTGAAAAACAACCCATTCGCTATGGGGGTGGGGATATCGCATTTTCCACAGGATAATGAAAGTTCAACTGTTCCTAGGATCGTTAAACTGAAAGATGGGCTCATGGAACGTAAAATTCCACCAGAGCTTGAACGTCAACGTACACACGAAGAGTACTACGCACGCCACCAAAAACATTATTCTCCTTTCATTCAGTCGTCAAACTCGAGATTCAAGCTATACTTTCTTGATATTGCTAAGATAGACCTGCGTCGTCCGGGTGAAAAGAATCGTCGGGGGCTATTCAATACTACTTCCGAATTGACTAGTCGGTCTGGATTTGGTAACGAGGAATTTCAAGGAAAACCAGGTCAGGCGCCGAGTGAAGCTACTACTGCTGCCAATTTCCTGTTAGAGTTGTTGGACTTGAAGAGGCCACCGCAGGAGTTGTTGTTCGGGTTTAAACAGGGTCCAGACTCAAACAGGCATACAATGGCAGGAGCATCGTCGAGGAAGTTTAACCTTGTTATATTGGATGATTACACCTCGTCGTCCTCGTTGTCTAGTGACCTCCACCTCATCGCCCAACTCCTCCTCGGGTTCCAATCCCTTACTCACTCTCAATCCGGTGGTGGAACTCTCGTCGTCCGTCTCAGACACCCGGAGAGCGTGATCACCGTTAAAATCCTATACATGCTCGATACGCTTTCCTCCACCGTCGCTGCCGTCAAGCCGCGGGAAATGCTAGGGGATGCGGAGGATCCAGGGTGTTTCTATGTTATAGCGCAGAATGTTGGAGGAGGCCCGCATGGCCATAAGGTTGGAGAGGTGGTGGAGGAGTTGAGGAAGCTTTGGTGGAAGCTGGTGATGAGGGTTGTGAGGCGGAAAGGTTTGGTGGGGTCGGTTGGGTCTGATGTGAAAGTTGCAGGCGGTGGGGTAGAAGGTGAGATTGAGATGGGAGAAACTGGGGAGATTGAAGAAGTTGAAGATAATCAGAGGGGGTCATCGCCCGAGACGTTGAGGGACATGTGTGGATTGAGAGAAGAAGACCTTGATTTTATCATCTATACTGATGAGCTGAAGGGATCGAAGAGTGATTATTTGATACGTTTGGTGGCTCTCGGGAAAATAGTATGGACAAGACAGCTTGAGATGATATTGATGGCTGGGGATAATTGCAAGTAAAACTTTTACCATTGAAACTATTGTATATCAGTATAACAGTAAATAACGATAATTGTTTCACAGAGCTTGACATGGTTGTAAATAACCCGTGGGAATCATTCTCATTGCCACCTTCCCGTCGACACCCATCCAAAATCGTGCTCAGCATAGAATTCCTTCCCGTCCTTTCCTTTCCTCCGCTTTCAGCTCGGTTCTCATCCTCATTCTCATTCAACTTGTACCCTACCTTGTCCTGCCAACCCATCCACCAGTTTCTACTGTCCGTCGGTGCAAATTTGGCTTTGGTTTCCGTCGGTGGATGCGTCCAACGGCCGACGCTAGATGCTGTTGCGATTCGCGAGTTCTTCTGTTGCCCTTGCTCCCCTGTACTAGCCTGTACTTCCCCTGGTTTCCTTGCCTTTGGACTTTCAATATTACAATTTCCAAGCTCCAAGTTCTTCAAAGATATCCATTCGGATGTACAGTAATGCCATTGAACTGCCATGTACCCAGCTTCTACCGGCTCCAGCAGGCTCCAGCGAGGGTTCCTGGCTTCTAAAGCTCGACAGAACAACTCTGCTTCAAATATAAACGTTTCATAGACCCTACCCCGACCCTAAGTATATACACAGCGCTTGGCAATACATACCGGTAACGCGTTTCGTTTAAAAAGCTCGGGTTCCAAGTTTGAAACACTCCTACGTTGTCTGTATCACCTTTGCTTTCCTTTTCACTTTTGGGTCTCTCCCTCCCTCTTTGCCTCCATAGTCCGGAGCAACCTCAGGCTTATAAATTGACGTTCACTCATTCATTCATCTATCTATCTATCCATACATTCATCATTCATGACTCGCCTCGCATTCTTCGTTGGTCTGCTCCCGAGTTTGAGCTTAGTATTCGCTCAGGATTTGGGTGTTCCGACTACATGGAGGGTGCGTCAGAGTGGATTTCTTCGTTCTCGAATTCGATGGCTGATTCTTTATGATCATATATCACAGGAATTTAACAACTCCCGCCTTCTTGCTGAACGCATATCAATCGCAAAATCCGCGATCGACACTATCCTCCCTCAGTTGGATACCTCTAATGGCCAGTTCGATGGTACGTGGGTTCCCTCTCACTTATATTTTCTTCGAATTCTTCTCGAATAAATGTCAATCAATCAATTAACCACCTCTGTCACATAGGCATCGGCTTTTGGCAATCCGCCAACGTCTTCTCCTCCATGGCGAATTTCGACCATCTAGCCAGTTCGACGGTGTATAAGGACCAAGTCATCAATGGCCTCACTGCGGCTTACAAGACGTACCCGAACTTCGATCCGAATGGGTACAACGATGATGCGATGTATGTCCCACCACACACCTCCCTCTCTCTCTCCCTCTCTCTCCATCTCTAGTAGTCTCCACATGTATTGACATCGAAATGTACAACAGGTGGTGGGCAACAGCTTCGTACTATGCCTACAGAGCATACGGGGTGAGATATTCGGTTTTCATATCCCTCAACTGAGGATGTTCGTTAATACCCATCAGGACTCGACGATGTTATCCATGGCTGTTGCGATCTGGACCCGTGTGTCGAATTAGTACGTCTCAAAGGTTGTGTACATATTTGATTTTGGTGTGACTGAACTTTTTTTCCCCCCTTTTTTCTCCTACTTTTTTCTTTTCGTCAACCTTAATGCGTAGTGTCGTCTCGGTGGCAGATGCTAAAGCAGGAACACAACCGAACAAGGATTTCACGATCGATGGGACGTGTTATGGAGGTGAGTCCTCGTTGAACGCTGATGAAACTATCTTTATTCACCTTTGTGTCCTTGTAGAAACTATGGCCGGAGGTGTTTTCTGGGTTCGTTCGTTCCCCTTTTCGCCTCTCGTTGCTGGGAGATAGGTTCTGAACATAAGCTTGTTAACCAACATGTAGCGTCCGACAAGTGATGATACAGGCATCAACTCGATCACTACTGGGTGAGTGCTTTTATCAAAATTTAT